TCAGTAAATCAATATGAACCTTTTTAATATTATAGCTAATTCAACTTTTCCTAACGATTACTTGGACCAACTAGTACTGAAAGCAAATTGAAGACTCAAGACCAGAAATTAATAATAACTTGAAGTTTTTTTGATACGAAATGTTATCAACAAAGTCTTTAAACATGATACACTGAGAAGCAAATATTTTGGATAGTTTACAAAGAGGTCAAGCCTTTTTCTAGATCTTCTTAGATGGACTCTCTTTTGCGTTTAACATTCAAACCAGAGAAGTCTCTAGGAACAGCAAGTAGAAAAGAAAACTCAAGAAGTTTAGAAATAGAAGAATACAATAAACTTTTAGAAAAACTCTTTTTAGTAGAAAACTTGCAGAACTAAAACTTTTCTTGTTGCTTTAACACTCCCAAAACCAATTTTTGACAAAAAGTGGAGATTAAGCTACTCTCTATCAAAAGATTGGTATTGTTTACCACTTTTATATTTGATGATTCTGTGATATAAACACAACAAATACATAGCTACATAGGAAGGCATTTATTCTTTATTTGGAAATATAGTCCTGGTATGTTGAAGATTTAGAAGGTTTTTAAATATTTATATATTAATTAGACAAAACGAAACTGAGAGAATATATATTTATTATATTTTGGAATAGAATATGAATTTAAAGTTAGAGCAATAAAGAGAAATTGAAATATGCAGTCTAATAACAAAGTTATGTATATATAATTTTTAGTCCTTGGCACAGATTAAAGTACACTTAGTTTAGTTTTTTTTATATTAGCTGAGTTCTATATAATTACTATAATAATATAGATAAGTATCCTAGTTAGCAGGTACCAATTTGTTAGTTAGTTTCTATAGTCTTGTATTGTATAGTTTTTCTTTCTTTTTTAGTATATTCACTTTCTTATATGTTTTTTTTTTTAAATATCCTCTTTCTTGTATTCTTCTTACTCTATTTTGCTTTCTGAATTTTTTTGTTGATGGGAATTTTCTTTCAAATTAGTAATATATTATATAGGGCAGTGATTCTAACAAGGTTGATGAACACCTACTGTAGATTCTTGGGGTATAAATTCTCAGTAAGTTGGGAATCCCAGATAAGGTAAAAAAGAACCACTTAGGTAGGTCGCACCTGGGTCTTCCTTGGGAATTTATTTTTAGATTCTTGTTAAATAGATCAAGTGATTCTTTATTAGTATAGACATATGTAGTTTTACTAGGTAGTTTAACCACTACAGAAGTATTCTACGCTAATTTAAATAATAAAAGAAGAATCACTAAAACAAAAAAAAAAACAAAAAAAATATTATAGCTAATTTAATAACTTTATTAATACTAATTAGTATTTGTATTTATTAATTAAACTAAGTTAATATTTAAAATTAACTTAATAATAAATTTTAAATATATCCAAAAACTTAATTGAACTTTGGATAGTTTTAAACATATTCAAATTAGTTTTGATCTATTTAATATTTTCAATATATAAAATATATATATAAATATATATTATATAGTAATAAATTTGACAAATCAGATTGTATATTCAAATATTCAAAATTTTTAAATTTTGGATTTTGGATAAGGTTTTAAACAATTTTGTCTAATTGCCAAAACTTGTTCAATTGTTATCACTGGCTTAGCCAGCTAAGTTGTAGTCGATTATCCTAATTGGTTAATTAAAGCACGTGATTTAGAATAGATATGATTGGTCAATTATTTATTGAATCTGGTATATATGTACATACGTATTAGTACGTACTAGTGTTTGTAGTCGATCATTATTTATCGACTTGACTAAGTCGATATTTAAAACTCGGCTTTGCCAGCTAAATTATCGGATATTTCCTCTCGTATTTTATGTTTGTTGAATTTCTTTTTGAATTTTTCGGGAAGGATAATGTAAACTACCAAATTGGGCTAAATTTGATTGGTTACTGTGATTTTTAATATAGTTTAAACATAAAACCGACTAAGCCGATTTTTTGAAAAATCGGCAGACTAAGCCGGCTAAGCCAATAAAATCGACTAATGCAAAATCACTAGCGCCGATCATTTAAAATTTTTTTTTTTATAAATTTACATATCTGATATAAAATTTAGGTATATACTTGATCAATAAGTATACAAATCTAACCAATATCGAAATGTCGGCAGACAGTCAACGTTAATTTAAATTATGTTGATCATGTTGATCAGAGTTGGATTAAATTGACTAGTCAACTTCACCTAAAACCAACATGAATCGTAACCCTTTACAAATGCACTCTCTATAAGTGCACTTCTCTTTCCGTAAGTGCACTTCTTTTTCCGTGAGTGCAAAATATTTGATTTGCATGAGTTTAAATCAAGTCACGTTATTTTCTCTCCATTTTCTATAGTGCACGTGTACTTACGATACTGTACATAGGAATTACATCATATTGATATGTTGAGCCACCCAATGACAAAGCAGACAAATTACACATGACATTGTTTATAAAAACATTCATGTTGCTATACGAAGATAAAATTTTTTAATATTAGTTTAGTTAGGATTTATTGTTATAATACTGATACACCAAACAAATCAGTTTGGTTCGGTTTTCAGTGATTCGAGATTAATTTTGACCAAGCCGAGCATATTTCTCTCAGATCCGCAGGCAGTATTTTTTTTTCAGTTCGATTAAGAAATGATCTACTAAACACAAAACCTGCAAACAATCCAACCACCCATCCTTTGTCGTTTAATTGCTTATGCGGCAAGTCATTGTTTTTATGGTTAGTTATTCTTATAATTAATTAATCGGTTATCAACCGTATAGCAAATATCCCAGTAAAGAATTAAAGGAGGTTAAAAAATCAATATGAGTTTTACTTCTTTTGAATTAATGTATATGATACATTTAATAGATTTATTTTTGGTAACGTTCAGATCCAAAATATCAATATCCAATAGTAGTTCTTTCAGTTACTAATAATCGATTCTAAATATAAATTGACATAACGAAAATGGATGCAATAATGTATTACTACATATTTACTTTCAGCAATGTTAAGAAACAAATGCAGTGTAACAATGATAAACGAATTATTACGTACGATAATTGAAGGCTACAACTGAGTATTGCAACGAAAAAGATTCTGTCGAAATTACCTTGGTATATATGAAACATGTGATGTATCATCTTTACTTACCACCTGCATTGGCGTTTCCTGACACTTGAGGAGGTTCTATAATATTTCCTGACCGGGTCCGATTTCAAACATTCGTCACGAAATGTGATCTTTTCAAGTCACTATTTTGAGTAGAAAATCACTTTAAAAGGAACCTCTATACCTATTTACGGATTATAACCATTTACGGATACCTGGCATTCATTAATTCATTAGATGATCTCTTGTATAAAAAATGCACATGGCTAGTATAAATAGTGAACATATGTGTTTATATGCAGACGCGCGATTAATTAACTTCATCCAAAAATAGCTATGATCTGCTGAGAAGACAGAAAAGATTCTCGGCATCCAACCAGACTTTTAATTCTTCCATTTATCTTTATATTTTCCCTTTCTCTCTTTATACCTTTCCCGCCAGAGTGTGCGTTCTTTCGCCACTAGATAGTAACGATTCCAAATAGGCTTGCTTCTTTTTTTCTCGCCTTCTTCCCATATAAACCTTGATAGATACCTTTCTTCCTTTGTTCGGAGGCAACAAAAAAACAAAATAATAATAATAATAATAATATATATATAATTTATCCATTGATATAGGCGTTAAAGAGGGTAAGTTAATCAATTACCGGTTTCTACGAATTTTGGTTATTATTATTCTTTACTCTGTTTACTCTGTAGGCTACTTTATTATAAAATTAACTAACTCATGATTTTCCCTTACGATATTACCCTGTGGTTCATTATATGTTTTCTTACCATTTCTTCATCCTCTTGATTTATTCTCATTCTCAAAAGGCGCACATCGTAACTTAAACATGCGTATTATACACTTTACTTTTATATTTATTTTCATAACGTTTTTTCTGGGATCTTGGAATAGTGCAAGTGCTAAAAAAATAGATATCAATGCTGAAAACTTGTCACGTCGGTATAATGGCGGTTCTATAAGTAGGGATAATTTGGTAAAGAGGCGCCCAAATCGCATTCAAGAAAGAGCAGATCCTCCAAAAAATTCTCCCACAAGTACGCCAAAAACGCAAGTGAGTAACCCGAATAATTCTGTTAAAAACACTACTCCGGATGGTAAACTGGTTAATGATAAATCACCTGGTAAGGCATTTATTCCTTTAAGGTTTTAAGTTAGGATTAGTATAGTATTTATGTGAATAATAATACTCATTGCCTTTGAACATATCGATATGTATTATTTATCATCGTTTAATTCATAACATAGCTCAGGGACAGGGTCAAGATATAAGTTCTGGTGGACAGTCAGTTGATACTAACCAGTCACCATATGCTATTATCACGGTTTGTGCTGTTTGTGGTGTATGCCTTGTAGTTGCTGGCATTTTCACGGTCGTAAATAGGAAAAAGCGTCAGGAACTTACTGACAGCATTGTTGCTACGTCAGCTGTTGCATGGGAACAACAAGATATTGAAGAGTCGAAAGAAGAAGAAACGCTACAGCCCATAGGTTCATACACTGTCATTGATACGTATGTGCCGACATTGCCTGATGAGTTGGAAATACAAGTTGGTGACAAGGTTACAGTCCTAGTGATATATGACGACGGCTGGGTACAGGGTATTAACGAGACTCAAGGTGGTGTCAAAGGTGTATTCCCACAACATTGTGTGAATATGAACATTTCCTTTAACAATAAACGTTCGAGTTCAATGGGATATACAATCGTAGACCTGAACTAAATTACGTAAAATGTCATTATCATCAACATTATGCATTTAGTATTTTTACTTTTTCTTTTATCATAATCTTTTTTTTTAAAAAAAAAAAAATTCAATTGTTTATATACAATAATGTTTAGTAGTTTGTAAATCCTGATTTTCGTGCTATTTAAATTTCTTCAAAATAATCCTCTAGATAGTTAGATAATAAATCATTTCCGAAAAGTATGTATGGTTAAATATTTAAACATCCCTTGATTTATTGCGTTTACGGTTAGGAATTTAAATAGAGATAGAAACAACACAATTTCGTAATATATAATTTATAACATAAAGATTTCATTAGGCCATACAACCTTATATTTTCGGTTTTCATATCCCGGCCGGGTCAGCAAAGCGGGATTTCAAAATTTTTATTTTTTTTAATATATCTACCAATAAAAATAATAAAAATCCTCCATGCATACCATGTAACAAAAACAAAGTTGTATCGTTGAGTTCTTGCGAAATAGTGACAGTTTCAATTTTTAATCTTTTTTTTGCATTGATCTATCATATAATATAAGTACCGCCTAAATGCTAATCAGCGATCTTGTATAATGCGTAATTGAAAACATATATACCCGACCTTAATGAAAACTTATTTTATCAGCATTCATAATATGTATTTTGAACTGGGCTACACTTGTTTTATTTCAAGAAATTATATATGTTGTAAGTGGGAATGGAATCCGGAATCCACTTAGATTAGAACAGAATAATATACTAAAAATCCCAACCCTAACCTTAAAAATTCCGAATCAACCTAAATTCTGTTCCTACCTACGACATATGTATATAATCGTTACACTTAATTCGCCTATGAAATACTAATTAAAATCAGATCGTTATAATTATTAGCTAAATAAAAAGATACAATTAAAAAAACGGCATAAAGTATGGTGGCTTTGTAGTTGAAAGAGTCGAAAAAATATGATTTTGAGATAATCAAATTTATTGTGTTCTGAAATCTTGTGTTTATTGGTTACAAATCACAAATCACCTAAAATTTTTACCCGCAATTGCAAATTAATGAGATTTATCATAAAAAATTTTTAAATTGATTTGTCTTCGGAATGTCTTTGGAAACCCAACTGAATACATAAATTTTATCAACTATAGTTTTAGGTAATTTTTAAAATTTTGCATTTCACAAAAATTGCGACATGAACCTTTACTAATCAAAGTTATTTTTAATTCATTGCTATATTGTAGAAAATGCTTTTATTTTACTCGTCCATGCTCGGATATTCTTGTGTCAAGAAAATTCTGGGCTGTACCGATACTAAATAAACCGGATTTTGTTTATTTTTTTGCTTACTCTGATACGTACTAAAATTAGATTTTTTTTCTTTGCTTTTTCTGTACTAGTTGGTCCAAGTAATCGTTAGGAAAAGTTGAATTAGCTATAATATTAAAAAGGTTCATATTGATTTACTGA